TATACCAACCAATTTCAAACCATACATAAAGCTACTGTAAGAAAGACAGTATGGGACTGACATATGGACAAATGTACAAATCGATGGAAGAGGGAGTCCAAAAACAGACTCACGCATATATCTTGAGTTGATTTCCAACAAAATGCCAAGGCCATTCAATAACAAAGAAAAAATAAAGGACAAGAAATTCAAAAGGGAAAGGATAATCTTCAAGAAATAATATATGCAAATTGCACATTTTGTATGTGCAACATATTCCATAAACATTTTTTCAAAGGGCTACACTGACATCTGAAGGTCTCTCTAATATAGATACACACTGAAAAAGTTTCATTCCAATACACTTAATGCAGATGAGGAGTATCACACTGAATCAAAAACTACATGTAAACGATATTATCAAGTATTTTTAATCCAACCAAGTATATGCTTTGTAGAACTGAATAATGGGTTCCCTGCCCTTTCCCGCTTCTTTCCACCTTTCTATAAGCCTGTCCCCACCTTTACCACCATTGCCTACATTAAATACCACCTTCTCCAGAAAGTTCTGCCATTCTATCTATTAACCTGATGGGCACTCATCCTTCTCTCAATTTTCACAGCATTTCCATCACTTAAAGGCCCTCATCAGCCCTGCCGGTTTGGTTCAGCGCTTAGAGCGTCCGCCTGCAGTCCAGAGAGGCCTAGGTTCGCTTCCCACTAAGGGCACATACCTCAGTTGCAGTTTGTCCCTGGCCCTGGTTGGGTTGTGAGGGTGGCAACCACTCAATGTGTCCCTTTCACATTGATGTTTCTCTCCCAGCCCCCCCCCCCATCTGAACAAAAAATGTTCTCGGGTGAGGTTAAAAAAAAAAAAAGGGCCCTCATCACATTATCCTTGAATTGCACATGATTTGAGTCCTCTGTAGGAGATAAAGGCCCTGAAGAACAGTAACACTGACTACATCAGCCTGGATCATAGAAGGCACTTGGTTTTTCTGTTGACTATTGAATGAATTAATTAATTAGAAAATTCAGGCATTTTGAAGTGAGTTAAGTAACTGGATCTGACCTAGTTTAAAAAAAAACACCTCAAAATATGAGGAATAAAAGTTTTCATTCCTTGAAAAATAATTTCAAAACTGAAACTCCTCAAAATATAGTGAAGACAAAATATAACATTAAAATATAAAACACTGCCCTGGCCTGTTTGGCTCAGCGGTTAAAACATCAGCCTGAGGTCCAGAGAGACCCAGGTTTGGTTCCAACTAAGGGCACATACCTCGGCTGCAGTTTGTCCCCAGCCCTGGTTGGGTTGTATGGGTGGTAGCCACTCAATGTGTCCCTTTCACATCCATGTTTCTCTCTCTCTCTTCCTCTCTCTCCCTCCTACTTTATCTGAACAAAAAATGGAAAAATGTCCTCAGGTGAGGATAAAAAAATATATATATATAAAATGTTTATAGTATATTTAGTGATCATTTTCTATATTCATAGGGGATCAAATCAAAAGGCATAAGAACTTCCTCAAAGATTATTTACCATCAGAACAGTCCACAGCTTTAGAAAATGTCTTGAAGTCAATTATATAACCATAGAACAAATAGGGTTAAAAGTATCTGTTATAGAAAAAAATAGTACGTGTCATTTTGACTCAAATGTGTTACTTTTAGATATTTTGAAAACAACTGTCTGGCTTCCAGATATTTAAATTATCACCAAAGATGCCCTGGTCCATTTGGCATGGTGGTTAGAGTGTTGGCCTGCAGACCGGAGAATCCCAGGTTCAGTTCCCACTAAGGGCACGTACCTTGGTTGTAGTTTGTCCCCGCCCTGGTTGGGGTCATGTGGGTGGCAGCCGACAGTCTATGTGTCTCTCTCACATCGATGATTCTCTCTCTCTCTTCCCCCCTTTCTCCCTCCCGCTCTATCTGAAGACAAACACAAAAATGTCCTCGAGACTTCCGGTCAGGGTGGCGGGTAGGTAAACATGGTATCGCGTCCTCCCACAACCACATCAAAGTTACAACTAAACTACAGAACAACCATCATTCAAAACCGCCTGAAACCAAGCTGAATGGAAGTCCTACACCTACGGAATTAAAGCAGCAGCCACATCCAGACTGGTAGGAGGGGCGGAGGCAGAGGGGCTGGTCCCACACCCACGTGTGGCGGATAAAAATCCGGAAGACACCTCGGCAGGGAAGGTCCTTCCTTGAGGACTGAGGGGGTCCCCGTCCCACACCAGGTGCCCCGCTCAGGGTTCCAGTGCCAGGAAGAGAATCCCCATAACTTCTGGCTGGAAAAACCAGCGGGAACTGAGGCTCAGGGAGGCTGAAGCGGCTGGAGCCCCAGGTAGCTCCTTAAAGGGCCCACGCACAGACTTATCGGACTCTCTCCCTCTAAGCTCGGAGGGGACGCAGCTCCAGGGACACCAGAGACATACAGGGAAGAACTGAGCTGTTTGGCACTGGAGCGAGGGCTGGAGAGGGGGCTTTCTCCAGGACAAACGTGCTGTCAGAGGCCTTTGTTCCTTTGGTGAGCCCTGCCCTGGGGCGGCAGACAGTCTCCATAACTGAGACTCCAGCAACCTGGCTCACACTGTTTGCCCTGCCCTGGTGACTCCCTGAGGCCCAGCCCCACCCAGCTTTCAGGCCCACCCAAGCTGTTGCCACTTGCTTAACCATAGGATTGGCCTGTCTTGGATCCTGCTTCAGGTTTTTCCTAAATTCTTTCAAACAAGCAGCATCTGGTCTCAATGCTAGCCCCATACCTCTCATTTAGTAATACACAGAAACAAACACAGGGAGAGGAGACAAAGAAACAGGTCCCAAATGAAAGAACAGAACAAAACCCCAAGAAAAGAACTAAGCGAAATGGAGATAAGCAACCTAACACATGCTGAGTTCAAAATACTGCTTATAAGAATGCTCAATGAACTTAGTGAGGACCTCAAGAGCATAAAAAAGGACCAGTCAGAAATGATGGATGCACAGTCAGAATTGAAGGAGGCATTAACTGAAATAAAAAATAATTTACACAGATTCAAGAGTAGAGTACATAAATCCAAGAAGCAAACCATCGATTTGGAATATAAGGAAGCAAAAAAACGCCCAATCAGAACAGCAAAAAGAAAAAAGAATCCAAAAAAATGAGGATAGTGTAAGGAGCCTCTGGGACAACTGCAAGCGTGCCAACATTCGCATCTTGGGGGTGCCAGAAGGAGAAGAGCAAGAACAAAAAATCGAAAACCTTTCTGAAACAATAATAGCAGAAACCTTTCCTAACTTGGAGAAGGAAACAGACATACAAGTCCAGGAAGCACACAGAGTCCCAAACAAGATGAACCCCAAGAGGCCCACACCAAGACACATCATCATCAAAATGCAAAAGGTTCAAGACAAAGACAGAATCTTAAAAGCAGCAAGAGAAAAGCAGTTAGTTACCTACAAGGGAGTTCCCATAAGGCTGTCAGCTGATTTCTCAAAAGAAACTTTGCAGGCCAGAAGGGAGTGGCAAGAAATATTCAGAGTGATGAAAAGCAAGAACCTACAACCAAGATTACGCTTTCCTGCAAAGCTGTCATTTAGAATCGATGGCCAAATAAAGACTTTCCCAGACAAGAAAAAGTTAAAGGAGTTCATCACCACCAAACCGTTATTATATGAAATGATGAAGGGTCTTTTTGAAGAAAAAGATAAAGTATATGAACAAACAAAATGGTAATGAATACATATCTATCGACAATGGAATCTACAAACAAAATGAACAGGTAGAACAGAAACATTCTCATAGATACAGAGAACATTTTGTTGGTTGCCAGATGGGAGGGGGTTGGGGGAATGAGTGAAAAAGGTGAAGGGATTAAGAAGTACAAATTCATTGCTAGATTGAAAAACCTCAAAGGGAAAGGGGTTGGGGGGGGTGGGAAGAAATAAACCAAAGAACTTATATGCATAACCAACGGACATAGACAATAGTGTGGGAAAAGGCGGGAGGGGGGCGGGAATGGGGAGGAGGGGGTCAATGGGGGAAAAATGTGGAACATCTGTAATACATTTTACATTCAACAATAAAGATTAAAAAAAAAAAAATGTCCTCGGATGAGGATTAAATAATCAATCACCAAAGGTATAAATGTAAACATTGTATGATTAATATGATTATGGCAGAAAATGAAATTCTGGGGGTGGGAGGGAGGTGCCACAAGTGAAACAGAGCTATTCCTCAACCACTAGACACTACTACTGTTAACAAATGGGGGTCTTGACTGGTTAAATCAATTCACTCCTGTCTATGCATCTACAGTTTCCTCTTAGAGCTAATGGTGCAAAAAATACTGGAGCTAGGGCTTGCCGACTTAGCAAATAAAAAGGCCCAGTTAAACTTGAATTTCAGATAATGAATTTTCTCAGTAAAGTATGTCCTGTGCAATTTAGACTAATAATTTACTCACTGTTTATCTTAAATTCAAACTTAACTGGATGTCCTGTGTTTTACCTGGCAACCCTTTCTGAAGCCAAAAGGTGGAGCAGTAATCAACCCAATTTCCTCACTTTGCAGAAGAAAGTGCGAACCAAGGAAAGGAAGAAACTTGCCTAAACCGAAACCAGAGGATCAAGGAAATGAGTATGCTTTGAAAGGAGAAAACATACTTCACTAGGTCACCTTGGGTTCCACTCATGGTCCATTTGACCTCCAACTCTCGCTCACCTCACAGAAGGTGGACAAGCTAAAAAAAAAGGTATGGTTTTCCTTTTTCAGTATCAAACTTCAAGTTTCGGTAAATCTCTTATCAACTCGTCTTCAGAAACAACTCATCAGGACACTGTGCATTTTTAATGTAAATATGTGATTTTTCATTACACAACAGCACAAACCACCTCACATTCTGTTTACCTATTCACGCCGTTTCACCTAAAGCCAGTCCTCTCAAAACCCAAAATTCTCTTGCTCCGGGTTTCAAATTTTGGTTATTCACATTATTCCACGATTCTAACAATGTTAGTTCACATACTCACCACTGTTCACATTTTTTCGGTGGAAAAGCCCTAATTAATCCATTCGGTTGGTCTCAGTAAGTCTGGCACACACAGTCTTCCACTCCCACTGCGCCTGGGCAAGCACACCGCAGCGAGGTAGTCTCAGCCCACACGCGTGCGAGAAAGCAGGGGCAGGGAGGAGCCTTCACTGGAAATCGGGGGCCTGTCTCCAGTATGTATGAGAAACATGCGAATTCTCGAACTGCAGGGCAGACAGTCGAACAAAGTCAAAGGAAAACTGAAACTGCACAGACGCCCAGGACTCATCTTGCGAATCCCATCGCAGGGACAAAACCGCCAGGCGCTTCCTGGACTCTGTCACAGCGCCTCTCGGTCCCCGCTGCGGCACAGGAAGGTCTTTCTATCATTTTACAAACTGGGCTTCCAAATAAGGTTTTCAGAAAGAAGGTTCCGTTGCGTATTTAAAAAAAATTCTCGGTGAGGACTTCGCGGGCGAAGCAGCAGACCGTGCCACGAGAGGGGCAAGGCGAACAGCTCGGCGGGACAGCCCGGCTCCCCGGCTCCCCGCCTTCCGAGACCACGCCGCTCGGAAGGGGCAGGTCCAGCCCAGACTCACTCTGCGGACTGTGACACTCGGGCCAGGGGTGGGGCTCCCCGCCGCCTCAGGACCCTCGGGCTGGGCTTCCGCGGACTCGCCGGCAGGCAGCGGGGCAGGGCCCTGGGCGAGCGCGACCCCGCCCGGCGCGGCCTGGCCCCTCGAAGGCCTGGCCCGGGGCCCGGACCGCGGCGCCGCACGCGCCGGCCCACCTGTCGCGGACGGCGGACGTCGCCGCCGGCAGCCGGCAGCCACACCCCCGGCGAGGGCCGCGGAACTCCCGGGGACGCCGCTGCGCGCACGCGTGGGCGGGCGCCGTGATCGCCTCGGGCGGGCCTGCGCTGGCGGCCGGGCCGGAGCCGGCTGCGGGAGACGCGGGGCAGCAAGGCCGCGGCGGCGCCACGGGCCTGTTTACACCCCTCCGCTGGAGGACACGGCGGCACGTGACGCGCGTGTCACGTGCCCGCCGTTGGGCGGAGGTGTTGCCAGGCGACGAGGGCGCGCTGGGGGAGGGCGGCGGCGAGGTCCCTCCCGCCCGGTGGCTCACCTCGCTGGTGGAGGCGAGAGCCCCAGGGGCCTGCCCTGCGGGAGGAGGCCGGCTCCCACCAGCTGCCTTCGTCCCTTAGAGACCCCAGGGCCTACCCGCACGTGTCATTCGTGTTTTGGAAGAGAGGACTCCGGGGAAGGGCAGTGTGATGTTGAACTTCAAGAAACGGAAAAAGCCTCCTTCCCCAAAGCTAAAGATGAAGGGAGAGCGCGGAAGGAAGCAATGGCCTTTTGTTGCCCTTAAGGAGGACTCGTCTGCTCTGCTCCCTCATCTGGGGCGAAAGGCTGTGCCCGCTGCCTGCTTCCTGCCTCCGCCTGGGCAGGGAAGCCACGTGGAACTTCAGCCTTCCTTTCAAACTATAAGTTTCATGGGAATTCGTCTTTGTATGCATAAATGCAAACATATCTAAGTAAATAGATGATTCAGCTTTCAGATTTTGTCCACATCAAACTTACTGTCATTGTTGGTTGGTTGGTTGTTTGTTTTATCCTCACCCAAGGATATTTTACCATTTTTTTGTTCAGATAGAGTGGGAAGGAGACGGAGAGAGAAACATGGACGTGAAAGGGACACATCAAGTGGCCACCACCCACACGATCAACCAGGGCCGGGGACAAACTGCAACCGAGGTACGTGCCCTTAGCGGAAACCAAACCCTGGTCTCTCTGGACTGCAGGCGGACACTCTAACCACTGAGCCAAACTGGCCAGGGCCGTCACTTTTGTTTTTAGTGACTATTTCTACCAAGTCCAATTTTTCCCCGTCAAACTTTGCAGTTTCAGCCACAGCCAATTTCTTTCATAATATTCATTATAAATTGCATTAAAAAACTAAAAGTTTGTATTATTTCCTAGGAAATTCTTGAGTAAATTGTGAGCAAATACCCTCAGGTATTCCAGAACTGCTCTGTCATCCAGAAGTGATCTACGGGAGAGTCCAGTCCCTCCACACAGTTCTAGTCACTGCCTACGTGGTGTCCAACAGCAAGTTTACAGAGTCCAAACAGTGGGCTCAAAATATTCTCTGCATCAATACAACAAGGTCAAACATCATCTTCACACCTAGAATGCAACATTACAAAGAGTATAAAATATAGTGATGAAATGTCTCCATGCTCTTCTTTTACTATGGAAAATAGACCACAAGGTCAGTTGCCACTACCTGGTTTACTTTTTCTGCTGCTTTGGGCAGCAGATGTTCCAGGAAGGCAGGGACAATATCTTCCATTGGTTTATCTTATGTCTAAACCATGCCTGGAAAGCAAAAATGTTGATTGGTGGATGTGTAACCTTGCCATCCTTCTGTAAGCAGTGGCAGAGCCTTCATAAATCAGAAGGATCTGAGTTAGGCAGAACTCATGGAGGCAATGCTAGGGGATGTCCTGGCCCAGCCATCACTATCTAGGCAATTTACCAAACCTTTGTGAGCCTCTTTCTTCATTTATCTCCTTAATAAAACAGTATGAAGATGAAATGAAATACAGTGGCACAACACTTTAAGGAGCCCAGCACAGTAATCAATAAATGTTAACCATATATACGGCCTTTGGCAAGAGGGTGCTAATACAGAGGTCAGAGTCCCAAGGGAAAGGGAGCTGACAACTGGAATTTGTCCAGGTTCTGGATTTTGATCCTTGCCACATAAACTGGAGTGAGGATAAGATTACCAGGAAACTAAGCTCAGCTGGGAAGTCTTTGCACTTAGAATGGAAGACTGCCACAGAAGGTTGCTCGTTGGTGATGACATAGTGGTCACTTCAAGGGGAGTACTAGTCTTGTGGCAACAGGTTAACTACAAAACTTGTACATGGTGATAGGGACTCCTAAAATACTACCTTACCATTGCCTTGGCCCACACAGGAAAATTGCCTGCCCTCTCCTAGAGTTTGTGGGAAACAAGGAAGTCAGGCCTGAGCCAAGGGACCAGTGTTACCCAAGGGCCGGTCAAACCTGACTGTCCACCAAATGGTTAAACATATCTAACCATATCTAGTTTTTGAGTTAGGGTTTCACTGCAAACGGCAAGATGCATTGGTTTGTATGATATGATAATACTGAAAATGTTTATGACTCTATAATGACATTTCACCTAACACAATGTACCACTAGAATGATGAATGTAAGGAGTGATGGGGGATTTGGAGACAAAGAAAGAAGTGAACAATAGCTTACAAAGGTGCTACAAAGCTATAATATGGTAGAGCTAATCTTGAATTTACAGTTCCTGATTCCAAGTCTAAGCACCGTTTCCTTTTTATTAAAAATCATGAAGATGTGGTTTCATTATCTTGAATTTGGCCTTCCTAGGCTACACTGGTTACAATTTTGCTTCACATAGTGTTTGGTATATTTCAAAAGTAGAGCCAACAGGATATATAGATTGATGGGAGGTGGGTGTGAAAGTACAGAGCAAAGGATGACTGTAAGGTTTTTGGCCTGAACAACCATAAGAATGGAATTGTCATTTAGATGCAGAAGAGGGCTATGTGCACTTTGGCGGAGGGGGCGGGGGGGATGAACAATTTCATTTTGAACATCCTAAATTTTACATGCCTATTAGAGATGTACCATTAGCAACCAGATAGAAGACACTGGAATTCTGAGGAGAGATATAGAAATATAAATCGATTGGCCAATGGCATTTAAAGCCACAGGGATTGAATAAGATCACACAGAGCTTTAACTTTCATACCTTCTGACCTCAATATAAGATATAAAATACATTTTACATACTGACCAAATACATGTACATAACTTAAAAGTTTCAAGAAGCAAATTTACCCTCCCTGTATGTAATACACTATTTCCTTTCTCATCTACTTTCTTCTTTTTTATTTTTTAAAACTTCTCCCAAATCCATTGATTTATCTTTATTGTTGAAAGTATTACAGGTGTGCCCCCATTTTTTCCCCATTGACTCCCTTCTCCGCCCCCCCCCCCCACATGCCTCATGCCTTTCCTACACTATTGTCTGTGTCCATTGGTTATACCTATATGCATACAAGTTCTTTGGTTTATCACTTCTCAGCCCCTCTCCCCTCTTCCCTCTGAGGTTAATCACTCTAACAACCAGTTTGTACTTCTTAATCCCTTTATTTTTGTGCCCATCCTCCAATCACCCTCACATTTGGCATTCAACAAAAAGTTCTCTATATCTACAAGTCTGTTTCTGTTCTACTTGTTTATTTGGTTTGTAGATTCAATTGTTGATAGATATGTATTTATTGTTCATATTTTTTATCTTCTTTTTCAAGAAGACCCTTCAACATTTCATATAATACTAGTTTAGTGGTAATGAACTCTTTTAGCTTTTTCTTGTCTGGGAAGCACTTTATATGTCCATAGATTCTAAATGATAGCTTTGCAGGAGTGAGTAACCTTGGTTATAGGTCCTTGTTTTCATCACTTTGAATGTTTCTTGCCACTTCCTTCTGGCCTGCAAAGTTTCTTTTAAGAAGTCATCTGACAGTCTTATGGGAGCTCCCTTGTAGGTAACTAACTACTTTTCTCTTGATGATTTCAAGATTCTCTCTTTGTCTTTAACCTTTTGCATTTTAATTATGATGTATCTTGGTGTGGGCCTCTATGGGTTCATCTTATTTGAGACTCTCTACTCTTCCTGGACTTGTATGTCTGTTTCTTTCACCAAGTTAGGGAAGTTGTCTGTTATTATTTTTTCAAATAAGTTTTCAATTTCTTGCTCACTCTCTTCTTCTTCCGACATACCCCATGATGTAAATATTAGTAAGCTTGAAGTTGTCCCAGAGGCTCCTTACACTATCCTCGGGGGGTTTTTTTTTGTTTTTTTTTTTTATTCCTTTTTCTTTTTGCTTGTCTGATGGGATTTTATTTGCTTCCTTGTATTCCAAATTGATGGTTTGATTCTCAGCTTCACCTGGTCTACTGTTAATACCTTGTAAATTATTCTTTATTTCATTTGGTGCATCCTTCATTTCTGACTGATCCTTTATTATGCTCTTGAGGTCCTCACTAAGTTCCTTGAGCATCCTTATAACAACCCGTGTTTTGAACTCTGCATCTGTTAAGATTCTTTACCTCCATTCTGTTTAGTTCTTTTCCTGGAGTTTTGTTCTGTTCTTTCATTTGGGATGTATTTCTTTGTCTCATTTTGGCTGCCTTCCTGTGTGTGTGTGTGGGGGGGGGGGTTCTATGTATTAGGTAGAGTTGCTACTTCTAGGCTTGGTAGAGTGGCCTATTATAGTAGGTGTCCTGTACAGTCCAGTGGCACAACCTTCCTGATCACCCCAGTGGAGCACTCGAGGTGCATACCCCAATGGGGACTGTATACCCTTCTGTTGGAATTGAGTCTTGATTGCTGGTAGCACATCAATGAGAGGGATTTACTCAAGCTGATCAGCTGCAAGGACTGGCTGTGCCAACTCACCACCAACCTCTGACCACCTTGAAGGATCAGCTGTGCTGGGGCCCAACACACAGAGCAAGACTTGCTTCAGGAGGGCTCCGGTTCC